CTAATTTGTTGGAAAAATTTGAGAAAGAATGATATTAGTTCTTTTTTAGATGTTTGGCAGAAATCCCCACTGAAACCATAAGGTCCAGGGCTTTTCTTTGTTGGGAAAATTTTAACTACTGATTCAATCTCCTCACCAGCTACAGATTTATTCAGGTTTCCTGTTTCGTCATGATTCTGTTTTGGCAGGTTTTGTGTTCTAGAAATTCAGCCATTTCATCTAGGTTATCCAATTTGTTGGCATACTGTTCGTAGTACTCTCTTATAATCCTTTTTATTTCTGTAGAATTAGTAGTAATGTACCCACTTTCATTTCTGATTTTGGTAATTTGAGTCTTTTTTCTTAGTCCATCTACCCAAAAAATTAGGGTTATCTGACAAAGTCTAGTCTTCTTCCCTACTATTAATCTCATTTGAAGCAGTTTTTTATTAAATGATGAAACTACCCTAAATGTCCTTATAATTTAAGCATATTTTCGTACTGTGTTTGAAAACTCATAGTAAAGATACATTTTAAAAAACTGATCTCCCATCCAAATCTCCATACCTTTACTATTACACTTCATCAGTGGGGTGAAAAAATAGAGTCCATGCAGATTGAAAATCAGCTCACCTATATCAACATACCTAAGATATTATAGCCCTTGATGTCTTTACTTATACATTAAGGAGGAAATAGAATGTAATCCCACTGAACTCAGTAGGTCAATATATGGAGAGAACAAACTTTCCAAAATAGCTCTTTGAGGTTTCCCTAAGAAAAAGAAATCAGAACAAAATGTAATCTTATCACATGTTCCAAAGGTATGCTATGTGCCAAATAATTGTTTGATAACAGCTTAAATGAACCAAAAACTCTGCAATAGTCATCTATACTATGGAGCAGCAACTTTTCCGTGAAGGGCCAGAAAGTAAATATTTTACTTTTTACTGCCATATGGTCTCTTATCAAAACTACACAGGTACTTTACTCTTTCATACTACAGGAGCCACAGACAGGGCTGTGCTGTGTTTCAACACTACTTTACAATACAGATGGAGGGCTGCATTTGACCTGTGAGCTGTAGTTTGCAGACCCTGATCTATACTCTCTTGAGTCTACTTCCTAATGCAGATGGAAAAAATGACAGGTTACCAAATGAGATAACTAGAGAACAAAATACATTATTTCCTTTATTATTCTGCTAACTCCAAAACTTTTAATAAAATTAGATTTTAAAAAATTAATTATTACCATTTTTAGGTGTAATAAAGGTGATAAACTTTTTTAAATAACCCTTATGTTTTAGGACACATATTAAATATTTACTGATGAAATAATATGGTATCTATCTAGATCTGCTTCAAAATAATTCAGTAGGGGGAATGGAAGGAAAGGTGTATAGATAAAATAAAACTGGCAATGACTATTAATTGAAGTGGGGTGATGGGTACATAACATTCATTATACTAGTCTCTCTACTTTTTTATATGTTTAAATTTCTAATGATAAAAATAAAAAACATATCACTTTATAAACAAGCTGGCAAATTATGAATGACAAATCTAAGTACGTTTGCAAAATAAAGTAACTATTTTCTCCACTTCAGCACCACTGACATTTAAAGCCAGATCACTGTTGTGAGAGCTGTCCTGAGCACTGCAGGACATTCAATAGCATCCTTGGCTTCTATCCTCTAGACGTTGGTTGTACCTTGTCCACCCACCCACTTGTAACAATTAAAAATGCCTCCGGACAGTTCCAAACGTCCCTTGTGGAATCTGTATGCCCCCAGCTAAGAATCAATATATTAAACAAACTATATAGCTGTTTAACAGGCAACGTTAATTCTTATATCCTAAAAAAATGAGACGTTGATGAACTTTTGTTTTAGTCTTGAGGTGTAGTCTTGTTTGAGATAGGGTCTCACTCCGGTCACCCAGGCTGGAGTGCAGTGGTGTGATTTCAGCTCACCGCAGCCTGGGCTTCCTGGGCTCAGGTGATTCTCCTACCTCAGCCTCCCAAGTAGATGAGACTATAGCTGTGTACCAGCACACCTGGCTAATATTTTGTATTTTTAGTAGAGAAGGGGTTTAGCCATGTTGCCTAGGTTGGTTCTGAACTCTTAGGATCAAGCAATTCACCCACCTCAGACTCCCAAAGTGCTTGGATTACAGGCGTGAACCGCTGTACCCGGCCAACATTTTTATTTTAACTCAATTTTTAAATGTCGTTTTCCCTTTACCAATTGGGAAACTGTTATTAATTTAACCTGATGTATAAAAATCCCTTTTCACACTTCTACAAATTGCATCTGCTTATAATGAATTTTAAAATAAAAAATACATAAAATGGAAATCCAAATGAGGAGTATGGTAGAAGTCCCATGTATCTCACTGTTCTAGTTAACAGTTTGCAAACTTAAAAATACATTATTTATAAATATCTAAACTACTGAGACTCACTTCAACTCCCATCTTACCATGTCTATAGTATTAACCAACCATTTGTTTTATATTTGAGTACAGTTAAGAAAAAAAATGCTGGGTACAGTGGCTTACACTTTTAATTCCAACACTTTGGGAGGACAAGGCAGGAGGATCACCTGAGTCCAGGAGTTCGAGACCAAACTGGGTAACATAGTGAGATCTTGTCTTTATAAAAAATTTTAAAAAATTAGCCAAGCATGGTGGCACACATCTGTAGCTCTAGCTACATGGGAGGCTGAAGTGGTAGAATTGTTTGAGCCTGGGAACGCAAGGCTGCAGTGAGCCGTGATCATGCCACTGCACTCAAGTCAGGGCAACAGAGCAAGACCCTGTATCAAAAAAAAAAGAAAAGAAAATCTGGCCAGGCATGGTGGCTCATGCCAGTAATCCCAGCATGTTGAGGTGGGTAAATCACTCAAGGTCAAGAGTTCAAGATCAGCCTGGCCAACATGGCAAAACCCGTTCTACTAAAAATACAAAAATTAGCCAGGCGTGATGGTGCACACCTGTCATCTCAGCCACTTGGGGGGCTGAGGCACAACAATCACTTGAACCAGGGAGGTGGAGGTTACAGTGAGCCAAGAACATGCCACTGTATTCCAGCCTGGGAGACAGAGGGAGACTCTCAAAAAAAAAAAAAAAAAAAAAGGAAAGGAAGAAAATCTACTCTTGAAAAACAGTGCCTATTTCATTCCTAATTCCATAGCTGCAAATCCTTCTGTAAAACCTCTCATGTGAACAAAAATCTCTAAAACACAAATATATGAATAATCCTATGCTGCCAAGTTGGTGATTAAATTCTGAATCAGAAAGCAGACTTTTAAAAAACAACTTAGGCAAAAAGAAATGTGGATTTTCAGCTTCCTGCCTTATTAGCTATATAAACAGAAGGGCTTTAGTTTTTCAGTAGTTGTTGCTACTGAAGTTTCTGGAGTCATTAAATTAAAAATCAGATATTCAACTCAAGAAATGTCATACCATTCTACCAAATAAAACTAAAATAATAACAAAATTAAGTAATTACCTTCTATTTACAAAATACTAAAATCAACTTAAGTCTTTCATTACCAAAAAGAATTTATAACACACACTGGGTTCCTAAATTCACAACCAAGAAAGATACAACTAAAAATTACTAGTGCAAAAGTAAAATCAAATTATATAATCTCATTCATAAAGACAACATAGTAATAAATCTATTGTATAGCTCATAGATATATATCTAACATGCTAATTTAAAATTCATGTTCTTGGGCATGGTGGCTCATACCTGTAATCGCAGCACTTTAGGAGGCTGACGCAGGCACATCACTTGAGGTCAGGAGCTCGAGACCACCCTGGCCAACATGGCAAAACCCTGTCTCTACTAAAAATACAAAAATTACCCAGGTATGGTAGCAGGCATCTTAGCCCAGCTACTGAGTAAGCTGAGACATAAGAATCACTTGAACCCAGGGGTCGGAGGTTGCAGTGAGCTGAGAATGCACCACTGCACTCCTGCCTGGGCAACAGAGTGGACTCTGCCTCATAAATAAATAAATAAATAAATAAATTTCAAGTTATTTCTATGCAACAGAAAATTCCAACATTACAGATGACTTATTTACCCTTAAAAACCACAGGCTCTTTAGTAGCTGTCCAACAATTCAAAATATACACAATTAGGGAAAAAAGTAAAAAGTAACATAAGACTAGAAAAGGCTTCTCTGCAAATATGCATGTTTTTAAATTTTTTAATTAGTAAAAACAGGATGATCCACCAATTTAGCCCTCAGCAATTCAAGTCCTCATTAAGCTCTCACAGATGAGAGTGTTTTTTAGACAAAATTGCAACATTCTGCCTAATTTAAATTTGCTAAAATTTGATTTATTTTAAATAAACTTGCACTGTACTAAAATATGTGTGATTCAAATATATTTTAGTAATGGGTAGTTAAGTAACACAAAGCAAGCTATCCTTCACCCTGGAGGTATAGAGAGATCCCCAATTGAGACTCCAATGATAGAAGTGTTTCTCTTGTATGAGAATATATTCTAAATCAAATGAAGCATATATGCACACATATAGTGACAAACATGCATTATGAACTCTTCAAATATCCATATTAAGGTCAAGAAACAATAAAACTTAAAAAATCCTAATTCAGTTATGACAAAACAACAACAAAAAATAGTTTCCAAGTGTCACCGAGATCAGGAAAGATTCTGACCCAGTGGATTTACGTTCCTCTTCCTTAAATTTCCCTAGGATAATTCTTGTATGAACCCATCTTGGCTCCCTAAAACATCATGGTTACACCACAGTAGCATAAAACTCAACTCCTATCTTTACCTAGGACTATGCTTAAAATAGAAAGGGATCACAGAAAGACAAGAAATGTTTCAAGTTGTCTCTGTCAGATTTTTATTTTCAATCAGAAAAGCCTTGGTTGGAAATAAAATTTCAAAAATAAAAACAATCCATCTCATGATATAGAAATATTATTTCCAGGAAATTAACTTTTACTTAAAATATTTTTCAAGTTTACTTACCTCTGCTTCGACATCCACGTTTTGTTTCAACAGTAACTTTAAAATGTCAACATGTCCGTTCTGACTAGCAGCTTGCATAGCTGTGTGGCCAGCACATTGCCCGTTTACCTAAATTTTTTTTTAAAAAGAATCAAAGAATGAATGTCACAACTCAGAAAGGGTCAATATATACATATAGTGTAAGTTTAAATCTAGTACACTGTATGATTCCATGAAAATAATTTAGGTTGGTGTTCCATATATCATAGTTCAGATAACCATAGTCTTCTTAATTTAGAGAAGGGAGGCAAGCACTGTTTTAAAAACAAAAGTTCCATTGTCCAACAAGTTACAAAAGAACTGTTAGGTAATCTGCAAAGTTGAAAGAAGTAAGGGAAAGAAGAAGGGAGGAATGAAAGGTAGTAAAGTTAGTTTTGTATATATACTCCTTTTTAGATTAATCTCTGAGTCCATGGTTCAATGAAAAAGCACTGCAGTGAATAGAAAACTTTTAGAAAAGATATTAGCTGCTAGGGATAAATCAATTCAATTCAACAAAATCAAACATCAATTTGCAGGCAAACTGCAAGGATAATAAATAAGAATACATAAATAAGTTAGCAAGGTAGGTATATACAACTATTACAAAGCATTAATTTCCAACCCTTCCTTCATTTCAGATGTTGTGTACATGTGTAATTAACCCATGGACATACCCAAGGCCAAGTACAATTCTTTAATTCTACCCGTTTCACTCCCATCCACAAAACCATCAAAGATGCTTAAAGATGGTAGCCCAGCCACATGTTTCTATACTATCTTTCCTGAAACCACACTAAAATGACAATAAAATAATTTAAAAAGTAAAAATCCATAAAGATAAAGGGCAAACATTAGAAAACAATAAAAAGTAACACATTTGTGAAAGAGAGAAAACAGATGGAAAAACGTTTTCTGACTTTAAAGAGAAGAGGAAGCCAGGTCAGCGTTGTGGCTCACACCTGTAATCCCAGCACTTTGGGAGGCCAAGGCAGGCAAATCACCTGAAGTCAGGAGTTAGAGACTATCCTGGCCCACATGTTGAAACCTTGTTTCTACTAAAAATACAAAGGTTAGCCAGGCATGTGGCAGGTGCCTGTAATCCCAGCTACTCAGGAGGCTGAGGCAGGAGAATCATTTGAACTCAGGAGGTAGAGGTGGCAGTGAGCTGAGATGGTGCCACTGCACTCCAGCCTGAGTGACAGAGTGAGACTCCATCTCAAAAAAAGAAAAAGAAAATGTTTTTTTATAAAGACCTATCATTAGTATGCTCAGTAAAGAAAAAGATAACATTGTATTCTCTTTAAACAACAACATGATACTATTTTTAAAAATGTGAAAAGAGCAACCAAAAAAGCTTGAAATTCAAAACTGATAGAATAAAAAAAACCTTGGGAAAAGGGTGGGAAAATTAAGTTAAGGAACCTCCCAGAAAGTGGGGGGGGGGGGGGAGAAAAACAAACAAAAAACAAAAGAAAGAAAATTCGAGGAATACTCCAAGAATAATCAAAATAACTATAGAAAATTTGCAGATATGAAAGACATGATTTCCAGTTTTAAAAAGTCAAACACCTAAAGCAGTGGATGAAAACAGATCCCTATCAAGGTGCATTATTGTGCAAGTTCTTAATGATTACCCAAACAAAATATTATCGTGTTTGAGAGAAAAAAACAGCGAACACGTAAGATCAGGAATCAGAATAGCTTACATCTTCTCAACAGTAATTCTGGAATTATTCTAACAGAAAATGATTTCTAACCTAAAATTCTACTCTAATATAAAACTTAATTGTGAGGTTTTAAAAAAAATCAGATATGAAAGGTCTATTCCCCACACATCCTTTCTCACAAGCTACTAAAAGCCTTACTTCACCAAAAAGAGAAAATGTAGAAACAAAAAGACAGGAGATATAGAAAACAAGAAACAGAACACAGGAGAAAAGAGAAGGGAACCCTCAGGATGGTGGGTGAGAAGACACTCCAAGAGGGCATCCAGGGCAGGGGACACCCTGTTCAGATGGAGAGTATCAGAAGGCATAAGCGAAATGTCTCCCAGGAGATGAAAAGGAATACATTTCATCTGATGTACCTGAATGTCTTGAGCAACTGAAGTATGTTACAGTTAAGGAGGAATTTGGGAAGAAATTAAGAATACAGATTACTAACAATGAAAAAATATAAAAATTATGTGTAAGATAAAGAGAGACTGGGAAAGACAACAAGTAACTTTTAAGAATGAAGAAAATATTCTACACCTTCACAAAAGATGTGGACTATGTGAGTGGTATACATTTATCAAAACTGGCTGATCCACATACTTCACTGTATGAAAATTATACTTCAATTTTTAAAAAATGACAATTATGAATTCTAACTAAAACAAAAAGTTAGGTAGGAAAACATAATCTAATATACTCTAAGGTGTATCTCTGCCACAGCATAATAGCCACAGCATGGCTATGAATGTCATTTATATAAGAAGCACAACTTATTCTATCCAAATGAAATTACAATATAATATAACTACATGATGAAGCTGGAAAGAGCGTGTGTGTCTGGTGGGATGGGATAGAAGTGGTAAAATAAAGCTAAATCCTCACCTTCCACAGTGAGGTATCAAAAGATCCAGGAAAGGAAAAGATAAAGGAAAGGAAGAAAGAAAATTTAGACATTACAACAGAGGTATATTGGTATGTTACTGGAAAACGTAGAGGTAAATATGAAGGCTATCAGCAAGCTAAGAATAGTTGCCTCTGAAGAACAGAAAAACGGGTGAGAAAGAGGGGATATTGTTTTCATAAAAACCTTATAGAACTATATTTCCCTTTAAGTTTTTAGTATTGTGATGCTCTTAAAAAATAACTTTAAAATAAATAAGTAAATGAAGAAAAAAATAAGTATAGTGAAATCTAGATCTGCTTGACTAGAATACAAAGGACATATGACTATCTTTCAAACACAAAAAAACACTTGGTACTTCAACAGCTGAAGCAAATTTACTTTTTATATTGCTCGCAACCAATCAATGAATTGCTGTGCTGTACAGCTGCAATTGATCTCTCCATAATAAAGCTAGCATGTTGAGCTTATAGGAGAAGTAAGACATTAATACTTTACAATTATAAATCTGATATTCAAACTATCTAGCATACTTAAAAACAAACATACAAAGAAAGGTATGGCAACAAAAACCCTTACAACACAGTGAGAGTGATTCAAATTGCCACTCCAACTACAATCTCTTGGCTGGCACTGAACATATTGGTGCCAGCAAGGTTTCAATGCCAAAGTCAAAGCACAATGACTAGAATCAAAAATGCCCACTTAAAAGATGGCTTGTATGAATGGCAAAAACAAAATATAACCTAGGAAGAGTTATAAAATACATGGCCTTTAATTCATCTGCTTATAAATTGTGAAAGTCAACTGTCGCTGGGGTGGAGAGGAGTTAAGATTAAATGTTTTGAAAAGAGGGATTGAAAGGCCAGGCACAGTGGCTCACGCCTGTAATCCGGGCACTTTGGGAGGCCGAGGTTGGTGGATCATCTGAGGTCAGGAGTTCAAGACCAGCCTGGCCAACAGGTGAAACCTTGTCTCTAATAAAAATATTTAAAAAAAAAAAAAAATGAAGAAGAAAAGAGGGATTGAAAATTGCTTATATACAACCTGCTATATACTCACAAAAATTAAAAATAAAAAAGAAAATTGCTTATAAAACTTACTAAAATATACTTAGAAGGTGTCATAAAATGATGTTTACATGAGGGGAAAAAAAATCACTGAAATTCCCAAAAAGACACTAGTCATTTAAAAACCAAAATTTAAGTTGTGTCAATCATAAAAAAGGTCATAATGTTAAATACAAAAACGTCAATTTTTCTTAGAAATGCACACTGAAGAATGTCTGATGTCTGCTTTAAAATACCTCACAAAAACAAGAGAAGAAATCAATGAAGCTTGTGTAGAAAAATCTTAGTAATTGTTGAAGATAAGGTTCATTATACTATTCTACTTTTTGTACGCTTCAAAATAATTTTTAAAATGCTCACATCCACATCTGGTCTTTTAAGCAAATCTTCCACTTTAGCAACATCTCCATTGGCAGCAGCCTTAACTAATTCTTCATTGAGGTCACCAGATTCTTGGGTTTCAAATAATTTCTTCAAGAGTTGTGAGAGTCTTTCTGTAAAGCATCAAATAAAGCTGCTAATATAGGAGGATCTCAAACCTTAACTACTAAGAAACAATATTTCTATAATCTTTTCCTATTTTATTGTTTCCATCATTACTGTTATTTTTCTGCTAGCTATAGGTAACTACCCATGCAAGTTATAATCACTACTATATCAAGCTGCACTAAATGCAAGCCCTTAAGTATTCCAAGTTTTCTCCAATTCATGTATATCAGGCTATAATTTTAGAAAAGGTGGTATATTTGTTCTGCACATGTACCCCAGAACTTAAAGTACAATTAAAAATAATAAGAAAATGTAATGCATTATATACTAATAATAATTCAAGATTTAGAAGTCATAGTTTAAAAAAAAAAAAAAACTATGAATAAACACTTACTACGAGAGTACCACAATTATACAAACTTCCTTCAGGTTTTAAGCACACTACAGTGACTCTCAGAGCTCAATACTACAGACTTTAAAATAATTCAACAGATCAATGGTTACGATCAAAAGCAGTAATATCTGGGGACATATTTTACGGACAAACCAATTTTCTTTAGGTTAAAACTGGACATTTAAGTGCTAATAACTTTCAATAAATGCCAACTGACTAGTTTTGACAAAAACAACAATGAACCAGGGATGAATATACCTAGGCCCTTTCATAAGATATTTTTTTCTAAATAGTATCAATCAATACAGAAGCTACAAAGATCTACTCCTTAATTCTTGGGGTACTTATTATAAAGCAGAGAAATCATGAAATAGGGCAAGGGACAAATGACCAAGTGGACCAAGTCCATGTAATTTGAGAGTAGGCTATTAACTGTCCTTCACTCTTTTACTTTGTAGGTAGTCAACCTACTATGATGTCATTTAACCTCAAGGTAAAAATAAACACTGGATTTAAAATTTAAGCATACTAGCAAATTACAGCAGGAAGGAATTTTTAAAAAGGCAGAGGAAGCAGAAAGCAGAACAAAAAGAAAATTGGAAGTCACCTAAAGTTTTCCTTTTGTTTCTTACTATTTATAGCTATAGTTCTATCTCCTCTTCTGGATGACAACATGTACATACAGTAACTTGTAATATGTTAAAAATGAACTGAGTCTGTACATATAAAGCTGGAGCACAAGAAAGAAATACTACATGAATGAGTCTACTCAAGCATCCAGCATATTCACATTTTAACATGGTTTTCTACTCACTGTAGCATGTATACTAATCCATTAAATGGTAAGAGAAAAAAATAACTCATACATAAAAATATACCAGGAAGAAAGCCATCTGCTAGCAATAATGTTGGAAATACAGGAAAAATAAAGCGGTCTAAGAAAGTGATGGTTCTTTGGCAGAAAACAAAAGTTCTGACCAAAGAGTAGAATCCTGAATTTTAGGAATCTAGAATTTGATGTGGAGAATTCCCTGATATACCCAAGAAAACGCACACATTTTATGGAACTTCTCCAGGGAGTATATCAGCCAGAATGAGGGTTGTTCAACACATTAAAAAAAATAAAAATTTTTAGTGAAAGTTTAAAAGGTGGTCAACATTCAAGTAAGGCTGTGTAATGTGGGACAAAGCCAAGCACATGTACAAGATTATCTGTATATCAGAACTGGGGAATTAGCAAAGATTTTAATGTAAACCATATTACTTTTAAAGAAACACAATATAAAACATACCACCAGATGCATTGCTAATGGCTGATCCTGCAGATGCCACCTTGGAAACTGCTGCTGGATTGTATGTCCAAGATGTTCCACAAACTTCCACCTTTAAATCACTGTCTGAATAAATCTGCTGTACTCGGCCAACTTTACCTAAAGTCTTGGGGAAAAAAATAGATTCATGTTTCCAAGTCTAAAGTATATACCATAAAATCAATCACTAGTTTTTATATGCTTAAAGTAATAATTTTACTTATTACTAATTAAAAAAACTTTCAAAGGATAACCATACTGAAATGGGTTATTTGCATAATTATAACTGTTAAAGAATATCATTTAAAATAATGAAACTACTTCCACAAGAATATAAAAGAGACAAGTGATGATAAAGTCTTGGGTTATTTGAATAATTATAAATGTTAAAGAATATCTTTTAAAATAATGAAACTACTTTCACAAGAATATAAGAGACAAATCATGATAAAGTCTATCTTATTCATATGAGTTCATAAAAATCAATTATGATATTCAGTCCTTCCTTTGTAACCCCATCAGGTATATTTTGAGAACTTGCAACTCAGGTAGTCTAAAATCTATCAACAATATAGCCTAAAAAAGAAAATCTGATTTCTATTTACAAAAATAAATTTGGCTAAGAAGGGCTCACACTTACATCTATGTTTAAACTCTTTTTAGAATCACCTGATTTCTGCCAGTTCCTTCCATTCCTCATATTCTTAAACCTGTTCATTTTCCCAAAATTTTTTTCCTTAGCTTTTTACTCTTCTTTGTTGAAAAATCAACCCACTTTGGCAACTAAGACCTTTTTTTTGAAAACACCAAAATTACTCCTTACTCTTACATACACATACCAATTCTAATTTTTTAACTGCCTATTAAACATTCACTTGGAATGTTCCATTACCATCTCAAACTCTATGAGGCTACATTCTTTTTTTTTTTCCCCTCAACTTTTCACTATGGAAAACTTCCAAGAGATACAAAAGTAGACAATAGCATACTGAATCCTCATGCACCCATCAACCATTTGTAACAATTAGCAGTTCATAGCTAATCTTGTTTCTTTATTTCTCTACCCATTCTCCCCTCCAGTATTATTTCTGTATGTACCTCCAAACAATAAGAACTTTTAATAGCATCTCTACAGTGCTATTTATTATCAATTCACCCAAATTTACAATAGTTACATATGACCAAATTCCAGTGTTCAAACTTCCAACTACCTCATAAATTATCAATTTTTTAAATTTGTTTAAATCAAGATCCACATAAGTCCATAAGTACATGTTTTTCATTGCAAATTATTTGTTGAAAAAACAGTTCTTTTATCTTATAAACTTTCTTACAATTTGAATTTTACTAATTGGTGTAATTTAATAACTCAGCGGCCCTCTGTACACAGTCACCAAGAACCCCTTCAAGTTGGCTGCTAGGTCCTTTTACATGGCCCTAGAAACCATTGATAGCTTCCTTGTTACCTAGTATTAGGCTCATTTTGTTCATCTCTTGTCAAAGAGCCAGAATTAGCCACTTCTTCAAAAAGCTTTTGCTCTTTATTGAGAGAAAGGCTGCTTGAAAGCCATAACCTGGGCACTAAGTTTGATTATTACTAAAATAGTCACTGTGGAGGCATTTTCATGAGCTAGGAAATAGGCATTTTTGGTTTGGGCATTTTTTCTTTTGTTTTAATTTTAAGTTCTAGGATACATGTGCAGAATGTGCAGGTTTGTCACCTAGGTATACATGTGCCATGGTGGTTTGCTGCAACACTACTATATGCAATAAGATTTCTGTAAACTGTCATCAAGATTTAGGCCCAGGGTGCATTATATTAGGTATCTGTCCTAATGCTCTCCCTCCCCTTCCCCCCACCTCAATAGGCCCCGGTATGTGTTGTTCCCCTCCCTGTGTCCATGTGTTCTCATTGTTCAACTCCCACTTATCAATGAGAACGTGTGGTGTTTGGTTCTCTGTTCCTGTGTTAGTTTGCTGAGGATGATGGCCTCCAGCTTGATCTATGTACCTGCAAAGGACATGATCTCATTCTTTTTTATGGCGGGGAGAAAAATTTTGCAATCTACCTATCTGACAAAGGTCTAATATCCAGAATATACAAGGAACTTAAACAAATTTACAAAAGAAAAACAAATAACCCTATCAAAAAGTGGGCAAAGGATATGAACATATACTTCTCAAAAGAAGACATTTGTTTTGTTTTTAAAGAAGCATAAATCATGAATTCAAACACTCTTCATTCAAATTCAAGACTACAGGGTCTTTACCTCCTATTATATCTGCACATCCTTTTACCACTCTGGTAATTCTGATTCTCAAAGTCAAAGGAGTAACAGAATTATCACCCAAGTACTCATTTGTTTTTTGGTACATCTAACAATCTCAGAATAACAATCTCAACACTAACACATGCAATAAGATTTTTGAAAAGTGTTAAATATTTCATTTCCATGAAGTCCTTGAGGGTCTATTCTTCCTATAAAGATATAAAGAAAAATTAACTGTGTTTAAAAAATCACTTGGAATTTTCTCTCTACATGGTCATGCTAACAGGAAACACATTAGTTTCATTTGTTCCATTTCATTTTCCACTTTTAGGAGTTTCTTTTTAAAATTCAATTTTGTTTTACAATTATATTAAATATGTATGTGATTTCAAATCAAATTTATAAAATAAGACATATTCAAAGACGTCTCCCTTCCTTCTTTGCCCCTTATATCCTGTTCCCTTTTTATATAGGTAACACGTATTTTCAATGTCATAGTTTATCATTGCGTTGTCTGTTTTAATACAGTTTGTGTCGTCCTAATAGTTACATTTACACACACACATCCTTATTTCTTCACATATATATATCCTCTTGGTTCCCTATTACGTGCAATACTGAAATTAGTCATTCATGTGTCCTTACCCTTACCCTCTCTCTTTCCTAATATTTTGATCTAAAATAATAGTATTGAGTCCCAGTTAATACAACTAAAAGGCAAACAGCATATTTAAATTTTCACGTGCTCACTCAATTTCCATGCTAGTTTTTACAACTATACTTTACATTGTTAGAATATATAATTGTGGCTGGGTGCAGTGGCTCATAACTGTAATCCCAGCACTTTGGCAGGCCGAGGTGGGCCGATCACAAGGTCAAGAGATCAAGACCATCCTGGCCGACATGATGAAACTCCGTCTCTCCTAAAAATACAAAAATTAGCTGGGCATGGTGGCATGCACCTGTAGTCCCAGCTACTCGGGAGGCTGAGGCAGGAGAGTTGCTTGAACCTGGGAGGTGGAGGTTGCAGTGAGCTGAGATCGCGCCACTGCATTCCAGCCTGGCACCTGGCAATAGAGCAAGACTCTGTCTCTAAAAAAAAAAAAAGAAAGAATATATAATCGTTATATACTCTACCCTTTCCTTTACAACATTCATTTAATCTTAGTTCAACAAATCAACACATGTTCCTTGATCACCAGTCCTTCATTTGATGTCTCTCCAGTCATTTTGGTTATCTAAAACTCATTCTCTAGCAAATTACTCAGAAAGGACTTGTGGGAACAAGATTTCCTGAATTCTCAGATTCATAGCATAGTTATACAACTACTTGAAAGTCAGTTTGGTAATACATAAAATCTTCAGCTTACATTATTTCCTTGAGTATCCTAAATGCTATCTCACTGTTTTCTGGCATAAAACATTGAGATGAGATTTTCTTCTTAACAGCAAAATCATTTTCTTTCCTTTAGGACCAATAACCTGCCTGGTCTTTTTTCCTGGATACTCCTGGATACTTTATCTCTTGAAGATCCAGTTATTTTACCAGAATATAGCCCAGCATTTGTTATTCTGGGTCAGTTTTCCCAGGTATGCAATGTGCACCTTCAACATTTAGTTTCAAATTGTTTTCTTAATTCCAGGAAAATTTTTCTAAAATTACAAATTTTCAAATTTGTTTCATTTCTTTGGGTTTTGTTTTTCCTTTTTACAAGGATACCTAGTATGTATATATGGGATATTTCATGTTTGTTGCTTTCTCTGAAATACTTTTCACCTTTTTATTTTTAAAATTTTCCCATGGTTTTTATAAATGGCAGAAAAAGATTAAAAAAAAAATTTCCAGCTTTTTCGCCTTCTATTTCTCTGAGGCATTATCTGTTGTATTTATTTGTTCTATGTTCCATCCAGCTTAGTCTTTACTTCTAAAATGACTTTTTTACTTCTTTTTAATTATTTCCTATTATAGCACCTCATTTCTAATTATGAATTCATTCTCTTGTATTTTTTCATTTTCTTAATTTCTTTTAGCTCATTTTTGGCTTTTTGCATTTTTTTTTTTTTTTTAAGAGTTAGTCTCACTACATTAGCCCAGGCTAAAGTGCAGTGGCTATTCACAGGGATGATCCCACTACTATCAGCACAAGAGTTTTGACCTGCTCTGTTTCTGATTTGGGCCTGTTCCCCACTCCATAGGCAACCTGGGGTTCAGCCAGGAGGTCACCATATCCTTGCTGAACTTAGTGCAGACATCCACACTACCCAGAGCTCTTGGACTCAAGTGATCCTCCTGCCTCAGCCTCCTGAGTACTGGGGACCATAGGCACACACCACTGTGCCAGTAGCCTTTTAGCTCATTTTAAATTATGAAAGTATAGTTTTCATCATTTTTCTGTGCTTATCTTCCTGATATACTTCTACTTTTTTTTTTTTTAGACAGGGTCTCGTTCTGTTGCCCAGACTGGAGTACAGTGGCGTGATCTCTGCTCACTGCAGCCTCAACCTCCTGGGCTCAAGAGATCCTCTCACCACAATCTCCTGAGTAGCTGGGACTACAGGCGCACATCACCACACCCAGCTAATTTTTGTATTTTTAGTAGAGACAGGGTTTTACCATGTTGTTCAGGCTGGTCTCAACTACTCAGCTCCAGCAATCCACCCGCCTTGGCCTCCCAAAGTGTTGGGATTACAGACATGAGCCACCACGTATGGCTTGATGTACTTTCATACCTTCATTATCTGTAGATAAGTTATTCTATTCCTTATTTCCTTTTTTCAATAATAACCATGTATGGAAATTTAACCACGATTTCTTCCAAATTTTATCTGGACCTTCTCCTTCCTTTGTCTCTACTGTCTCTGTCCTACTAAATTTTGTTCCTATTCCCAGCACTTTCTCACCAAAGTGAGGCTCTGCCTTGGAAGGGAGCTTTGGCTAGTTAGTTGTGAGTTTAAAGGCCCACATTAGTCCCATCCCTTCTGACTTTAGCATGGATTTATTTTCTTATCCCAAACTGGAGTCTTCAAGATCCCTCTCAGGCTCAGATGCTGCTAAGACATTTGTCTACTACACTAGCCAATGAATACTGCTAGCTGTTTTGGAGCTTTCCTGTTCTCAGGTCCATCAGATACCTCATTCATTCTCTCTGCTCCCATACAGAGAGATGCAGACTCAATAGCTGTCAGTGGTTTATCTCTACTCATTCATATATTAGGGTTCAACAGGTTACTCTGTCACTTAGCTTTGTTATAGATGTTTGTAGCTTTTTTGCTTATGCTAATCTAACTGTCTATTTTTATCAAGCAGATCTGATAAGATACAAAATCTACAACACCACTACTGGAATCCCAGAATTTCCGTTTAGAATTATCTAGAGGTTTTATTTATACAGCAGCTTGAAATGGCAGAAAGCATGCTTAGGCTTTGGAATAAGACAGATCTGGGTTCAAAATTCCAGTTCAGAATCGTGCCTCTGATTTCCTCGTCTTTAAAATAAGGATGCTACACCATCACCCTCTTGTAATATTGCTAAGACAAACACAGTCTGTATTTGTGTATGCATGTATACATACACATGTGTGTACAGCAGCTACGAACTGTGAAATGTCTTTGAATAAAAGCACCATAACAACAGAGATTTTATTTTTCTATTTTGTTCACGATTGTTCCCTTGTTTTTTCCATATTGTTCACCATTGTAGCCCTACCTAACAGGCACATTATATGTGCTAAAATACCTACTAAAGAAATTAGACAGAGTAATCCCAGCACTTTGGGAGGCCGAGACGGGTGGATCACGAGGTCAAGAGATCGAGACCATCCTGGTCAACATGGTGAAACCCCGTCTCTACTAAAAAAATACAAAAAATCAGCTGGGCATGGTGGCGCATGCCTGTAATCCCAGCTACTCAGGAGGCTGAGGCAGGAGAATTGCCTGAACCCAGGAGGCGGAGGTTGCGGTGAGCCGAGATCGCGCCATTGCACTCCAGCCTGGGCAAAACAAGAGCGAAACTCCGTCTCAAAAAAAAAAAAAAAAAGAAATTAGACAGAAAGGGTGGATGGACTAATAAAGGGTCAGGACAACAGGAAGGAGGGACTAGGCAGGATGCGAGGGGGTGAGATAGGGCAGGAGTTGGGGCTGGAAAGGAAGAGAAGGAGGTGCTGGCCAGGAGAAGAGACTGGAGAATACAGTAGAGTGGGGGTGACATGAAGAGGGATGTGAGATGAAGTACATGGACAGGATGGAGGCACTGAATGGGACTGGAATGGAGAGACAGACAGGACAGGAGCCGAGAGGCTGGATGAGACAGGAGACAGGAGTAGGCAAGGTGGAGAACTATAGAGGAGGACACAGCAAGGTGGAGGGGGAAGTGGGGAAGGGAAACAGAATGAGGCAGCATAAGGGATGGCAGGGTGACAGAGTAGTGCCAAAGGCGGGACAGAAGGACAGAAGCAAGGCATATAGACAGGGAAAGGGAAGGATGGTTGAAGAGAGGGCAGAACAAGCAAATCTATTTGTTGTTGCTGAACATTTGATGAAAAAATGACTAAATAAAAAAATAAACTGTAGCTCTTTGGGAACAAATTCACTCTCTGAGAGCACACACATTTTTAAGCTGCTCTTTCATATTCAAGTTTTAAAGAGGCAGGCTCCCCATCAGGAAAGCTGCACTAGTCCAGCACTGCTAGAGACTAGATGGGCACAGATCTGTATCATTCTGGGGTTAAGTATCAGGAAAACCAGTGCTGACTTGTACCACATAACATTCTCCAAAAACCACGCAATCAAAAAATATTAACTGTAACCTTCTGGACCTTTCCAATCTAATTTAACTGAGATAAGTTAGAAAACAAAAGGCACAAGTATGTCTAGCTGCCAAGGGAGAGTACAATTCTATGAAGTTTTAGGCCAATTTAATTTCTACATTAATTTACTTTTAAAATCGACTTAAGTGTAGTATAATTTCTAACCCAGAATTATTCTATAATACTTACTGGAAGCATCGCTTCAGCCCATTCTCCATGCCCTCTTTGTAGAAGTTTAATCCGTTCCAGGTCATAGCACACTTGTACAAGATCACCCACTTGAAACTGTGAGGTGCCTCCTTCTGCACCTTGAGCAGCATCCCCACTTCTGACGATATTTGCTTTAGTTAGAACAGCAGGATTGAAGGTCCACCTACAAGACCAAAGCTAAACCTCAAAATGGGTAGATTTGCTTAATTTTAATTTCAATACAAAATTTGTAAACACTGAAGATCAAAAGAGCAAGGCAATCCTTTGCAATTATATCCTGCATGCTTTCATTACATATATATATATATATATATATACACACACTTCTTTTTTTTTTTTGAGACAGAGTCTGACTCTGTCACCCAGGCTAGAATGCAGTGGCATGATCTCAGCTCACTGCAACCTCTGCCTCCCGGATTCAAGTGATTCTCCTGCCTCAGTCTCAGCCTCCCAAGTAGCTGGGATTACAGGCACATGCCACCACATCCAGCTAATTTTTGTATTTTTAGTAGAAACGGGATTTCACCATGCTAGTCTGCTGGTCTCAAACTCCTGAGCTCAAGTGATCCATCTGCCTCAGCCTCCCAAAGTGCTGGGATTACAGGCATGCGCCACTGCACCCAGTCTGTTTTTTATAATTTTAATATACAAATTTGGGAAAAGAGTCATCCATAATCTTACCACCTTAATACAAGTGTAAATATTTTGGTACACTTTTGTCTACATTTGTTCTCCCCTGCCTGTTTTTTAAAACTTTTGTAAAAGTAATATACAATCATTGTTAAAAATTCAAACATTTCAGAAACATGTAAAGTAAAAGTTCCATTTCACACAAACACACTGGATCACCACTCCCATCCCATAACAAACCACTATTAATATTCTACTCTGTGTCCTTGTAGACATTCTATCAATATGCTGAATGACATTCATAATATAATTGTTTTCCATAAATGGGAACATTATATGTATGTATACATATACATATAGACACATACATACATATGTGACATTTTTTCAGATAACGCATCTTGGAAGATTTATTTTTTAGTGTCACAGATATAGACCTATCTTGAATAGGTCTAAGAATACAGACCTAAATTGAACAGACCTTATTTCAATATAACTGCTACAAAGTATTCCATCACTTGGATATACACTGATATACTTAACTATTCTCCTACTGACTATCATTTAAAGTGCTTCCAAATTGTCACCAATATATCCAGTATATAAAGACCATCGCTGTTTATACATCTTTGTGCATGAGGTCAGTATTTCAACAGAGATTCTTAAAAGAACTATCTGATCAAACTATATGTTTGTTTACAATTCAGACAGATCCAAACTGCTCTACAAAGAGTGTACCATTTCCCCACACCATTGCTAATTTCATGGATAAAAATAGTATCCAATTTTAACTTTCCATGCATAGATATTTACCATAATTGTAATCATTGTATCAAACTAATTTGGATGTTGATGTCTTTATATGGGCATTTTCCATGCTGCTATCATCTTCAAAAATCATTATTTTAATGACTACTTAATATTCCATCAAATAGATATACTACAGTTGATAACGGAACACCTCCCCTAATTCCACACTGAATTCCAAGAGCAAAGGTTCCCTTGTCAAATAAGTTTCTAAAATATTGGCATATTATATCCTCTTCTCCTTAGGCCAGATGGTTATTAGCATATAAAAGACTCCGAGTGGTCACATCATATTAAAGCCTGTTCATAACTTTCTGTAACCACACAAGTAAACTGTTCTTTCTAATGCAACCACAAAAAGTGCCTCTGAATAATTAAGAATAAAAATCAGATACACAAAGTTTTCACTTAGCCTTATCAACAACAGTGCCTTTTATCTCGCTCCTAATAATCAAAAATTTACTAGACTTATCATCCTGCCCAAACAGAGCAACCATTATACAAGTGTTCCCTCTGCCGAGTGCTTTTCCTAGTGAAACCTAGTCTATCTTTTAAGCTTACTCCAAGTGCAATTATCCCTGCAGTTTTCTCTAATTTGCCCAGTGGCAATGACCACTCTTCTCTTGCACCTTCAAAAAACTCTCCATACTTACCAACCATATTACTTTTAACACTTTATCACAGTTATTTCCCATTCTATCTATCCAAGCTAAAAAGGAAACCCCTTCAAAACAGAGACGATGTCTCATCTTTGTGATCCTAATACTAATCCTAATACAGAATAATATAATAATCCTAATCCTAATACAGAATAAGTACTTAATAAGTTTTGTTGAATAAAAAACAAAAAAAATATTTTCTAGAACTCAACTATCATATTACTGTTAACACTCTACGGCCCAAGAAAAAGAATTCTGCACAAGAAATAATTCTGCAAGTAATACTCCTAATTTGTGCTAACCTAACATTCCCAAACAAGAGAATATTTAACACAAAATGTCTTAGTATGTGCTAACACAACTTAAGTGTTAGAACTTAGTTGTATCCTTAAGATTTTTTTTTTTATTTTTTGACTGATATATAACTGTAGCTTTTTATTTATTTTACTTCTTCTGTTAATGACAACTTTAAGATGTATTTCGCGCACCATACAATCTACCCACTTACAGTATATAATTCAGAGGTTCTTAGTAGATTTATGGAGTCGTACAACCATAGCCACTATCTAGTTTCATTTTCATTATGTCATAAAGATACCCTGAAACTATTAGCAGTTACTCCATATTCACTCCTTTCCCCAGGCCCTAAATAACCGGTAATATACTTTCTGTTTCTATGGATTTGCTTATTCTGGACATTTTCTACAAATAAAATCACACAATATGTGATCTTTTGTGACTGGCTTCTTTCACTTAGCATAATGTTTTCAAGATTCATCTATGTTGCAGTATGTGTCAGTACTTGATTCCTTTATGATATGTATGAATATGTTACATTTTGTTTATCCATTTACCAGTTGATAGGCATTTGGGTTGTTTCTACTTTCTGGCTCTTATGAATAATGCTTCCACAATATTCATATACAAGTTTTTGTATTGACATACATTATTAAATTCTTTTGGGTACACATCTAAGATTGGAACTACTGGATCATATGGTAACTCTACATTTAACATTTTGAGGAACTACCAAAATGTTTCTTAAAGCAACCCCATTGTTTTACAGTACTACCAGTAATATATGACAGGTCTAGTTTCTTTATATCCTCAACAAGACTTACTATCTCTTTTATTCAAGTCATCCTAGTGTGTGACGTGGCCACTGTGGTTTTGCTTTGTATTTCCCTAATAGTTAATGTCAAGCATCTCTTCATGAATGTTATGAATGGAACCACAACCCCCTAGAATTCATATGTTGAATCCCTAACCCCCTTTACAGATAAGACCTTTACAGAGGTAATTAAGGTCAAATTGGGTATTACAGGTGGGTCCCGAATACAATAAGGCTAGTACCCTTATAAGAGGAGGAGACATCAAAGATTTCCCTCTCCAACTGCACACGGAAGAAACGCCATAATGAGCACATATAGAGAAGGTGGCCATCTACAAACCAGGAAGAAAGGTCTCAACAGCAACCAACAGAGTTGGCACCTTGATCTTGTACTGCAGCTTCCAAAAGTATAAGAAAATACTTTTTTTCTTTTTGAGACAGGATCTCATTCTGCCACCCAGGCTGGAGTGCAGTGGTGCGATCGCAGCAAACTGCAGCCTTAACCTCCCTGAGCTCAAGCAATACGTCCACCTCATCCTCCTGAGTAGGTGGGATGACAAGCACATGCCACCACACCCAGCTAATTTTTGTTTGTTTGTTTGTTTGTTGCAGAGACAGGATTTTGTTATGTTGCCCAAGCCGAGAAAGTAAGTTTCTATTGTTTAAGCAACCTAGTCTGTGGTATTTTATTATGGCAGCCCTAGCCAAATACTACAATGGCATTATTACCCATCTCTGTAACATATTTTCTTTGGAAAAATGTCTATTCAAATCTTTTGCTCATTTTTCTATTCGATTTTAACTGTTTAATTTTCAAAGTTCTTTATATATTCTACATACAAGTCCATTATTAACCATATAATTTGCAAACTTTTTAACCATATAATTTGCAAATTCATTCCATAAGTTATCCACTTTTCTGATAGTCTCCTTTAAAATACAATAGTTGGCTGTGCGCGGTGGCTTACGCCTGTAATCCCAACACTTTGGGAGGCCAAGTCGGGTGGATCATGAGGTCAAGAATTTGAGACCAGCCTGACCAACACGGTGAAGGCCTGCCTCTACTAAAAATACAAAAATTAGCTGAGTGCGGTGGCATGCACCTTTAGTCCCTGCTACTCAGGAGGCTGAGGCAGGGGGATCACTTGAGCCCAGGTGCTATAATGTGCCATGATTGTTCCTATGAACACCCCACTGAACTCCAGCCTCAGCGACCTAGCAAAACTCCATCTCTTAAAAAAAAAAAAATCAATTGACCTATACAAGGGGCTTATTTCTGGACTCTTAATTCTAGTCCATTAATCTACATGTCTAACATTACATCACTAATATACTATCTTGATAACTGTAGCTCTCTGGTTAAGTTTTGAAACCAGAAAACATGAGCTTTTGTCAAGTACTTTTTCTGCATCTACTGATACGATCACGTATGCTCTTAAGATTTGAATACAATCAGACCTAATGCTATATACCTAGGTAAGCAACTTAATGTTATTTTCTTATTCTACATAATATCCCTCCCCAAAGAACCTCAGGGAGTTAGTTTCTTTATGTACATTTCAGTAAGACAATTATTCAATTTATTGATTTTTCTTTAAAATACTATAAACATACTAGAATGAATTAGATATATTTTGGCCCAAATAAAATTAAAAAGACAGCCCTAGCCTCCAAGAAACTCGCAATCTAAATATCAAATGAATAACCATTTTAATAGGTAATAGTAAACCTAAATAGATGAATAGTATACACATATATAATACTATGGAGAGCAGAAGGAAAGAGGAGGTTCCCAAACCATATAAACTCAATATTTACAGGATGTAGAGAATTTAATCTAGGCAAGAAGGGAGAAAAAGAGGAAAGGGCATTTTACCTAATGAGAGCAGTATGTTAGAAGGTACAGAATTGAGGAAATGCATACAATTTTATATTGCTGATAAGGATTAGTGTATG